GTTTAAGTTCATTATATTTAGTGGGAAGAGAACCATGGTAGACCCGGGAAACCCTGCCAGTCTACCCTGTGACCCGGGAAACCCTGCCAGTCACAAACAAATCACATTGGCCATAATCAATTCACATCTTCCTAGTGTGCACACATCTTCCCAAAGTTGCTACTAGTATCCCGGGAAACCCTGCCAGACACCACTTTGGAAAGAACGGATATAGTCTTTTTCACATCAGTTTCACATCGGAGGCATAAAGCCCAAAAATTGTGTTCATCACCTTGGGAGGTACCATCCCAAAGCTATCCTCCCACTATTAATTTATTCAATCACATACAATCAATTCAATCTTGTCACAATTCTCATAATTGTCAAATAGTTTTCATGATTTCCACATCAATTTAATCAAGAGTATGATTTCCAAATTCAATTTTTCAAGAATATCATAATTTCCAAATCCATCATAATTTCCAAATCCATTATCCAAGAATATCATAATTTTCTAATCCATCATAATTTTCAAATCCATTATCCAAGAATATCATAATTTTCATATTCAACATATAACAGAGTAAAACTCGAATCCAATCATTATATCATAATTTTTGAAATCAGAATTCAAAGAGTAAAATCTAAATCCAATCATCATATCATAATTTTTCCAAATCATAATTCAAATATTCACATCTATTAGAGTAAAGCCAAAATGTAATAATTAATCCAATTAATTTCTAGAGATTAAAATAATTTAATTTAAATACCCTAAGGGTTACATATAATATATGAAAACATCCTAAAATTTTCCTAGGGATTGAGATTACATATATCAAACATATAACTACCTGAATAATAGGACACCCAATAAAATTTCATACACAACAAATCTACAACCACCTAGAGATTAGGATTACCTGATTTCCGTTTTCGCTAACTTCTAGAAGAAAAGAGTAATTTGGGGCAGAGAACCGGTTGGTAATCAGAAGAATATAAAATAAATTAAACTAAGTTTTTGAACTAAGAAGAGAGAATAGTAGAGGAGAAATGTTGAAGAGTGAATTGGTTTGGTTAGGCTAGACCTCTATTTATAGTTGAAGTTTAGGGCTTACACATTACTGACTCAATGCTGACTCATCATATCTAAACAATTTATGTTTGTTGACTCATCATATCTAAACAAATTTATGTTTGTTGGCTCATCATATCTAAAAAAATTTTGTTTGTTGACTCATCATATCTAAACAATTTTTGTTTGTTGACTCATCATATCTAAACAATTTACTAATCAAACATAAATACATAAATCATCAATCAATTAATCATAATTTATCATCTAATATATATATATATATATATATATATATATATATAATTATATATTATCACATAAATCAAATAATATTACTATTATTATCTTACCTCTTATTAATTTAACTATTATTAACTCATTAATTAAAAATATTAAATACCAATATTATTAATTACAAAATACTAAATATCATTATTATCCAAAAATATTTATTATTATATTATTATTATTATTATTTTATTAAAAGAAAATATGGGATATTACAGTTTGTGTTCAATTTCCATTGATACCCAAAGAGTTAAAATCACTTAAATCACATAAATACAAAAGCTTCTGTACAAGAGTTTTGAACATAGTTTTTTAACAATTTCACAGTTTTTCCATTCCAAAATAACTTAGCCCATGGCTGAAAACATAAACATATATTTCAATCTAAAATCCCATAGACCCGAGATTCAGTTTGAAAATAACGAGTAGAAGAGAAGAGAAATAACAAACATATATTAATAAGAAACAACTTTACACTACAAAGAAATAAAAAAGAGAAGTATGGAGATTGCTCGTGAGGAGTCTCAAATGGTGAAACGAAATGAGGAAAGAGTTTTTGTCACTTAGCTTATTGTTAAAACTATACAAATAGAATACAGAAACTTCAACTACACTAGGTGATCTCTTCTTAAGGAATTCGATGGTTTCTTCGTGTGGGATTCTTCTATTTATAAGCTGAAGGAATGGATGTCAATCTTATGATTCTTCTTCATATGTTCCTTGATTGTATAGAGAGGCGGTGGACTAGTACTCTGACAAGTGAAGCAAGTTGTTTGATGGGATGGCTTATGGTTGGGAATTTCCTTTTTGTTCTGAGACCCTCATGCTTGCTTTTTCTCTAATCCAATTAGCACTCTTCGTTCTCTGCTGTACATGTTTCCTCCTGCTTGATTGTTGTACTTCTTTCTGCTTTTTAGAAGCTTCTTTTCAACGTTTCCTGCAAAGGAGTCAGAGAAGAGGTTATTGGAGCATGTGTACAAATAAGTCAAACTGATCCCTTTTTCTTTCATTTATCAGCTGATTACATCATCATTCATTCCCTTCTGGTGCTTCTCTTCTCAGGGTCTGGGAACGTGTTTTTATAGCAAAATTTGGTTACTAGTTGATGGAACGGATGGAATTTTATCATCAAAATGGGCATGAATTGGAATGATTTTTTCGTCCCATCACCTACCATGCATGGTCCCCTTCTTTTTCTTTTTATTTAATGTATATACAGCTCGGCATGGAATCTTCCATAATTTTACCCGGTCCTTTAAGAATTTTAAGGATCACTTTTTCAATGTGGCAGTTCATTATGGCTGTCATCCTTGGTTTGCTGTTGAAATGCTTGAAGATGGGGATTTATCAGCCCGATTTGAACTTTATTGGAGTATGAACCATTATCTCAAGCAATCAAATGATTATTCGACCCGTGAGTCTTCTCTTTTTGATGCAGAGTGACTCAGTTTCACTGTCCTAAAGGCATATGTCAAGGAATATGTCATTCTTGACTTAGGTAAGATGGTGGATAAGTTCGGGGATGATCTCCTCGAAGAATTTGGTATGTTATCCCGGGTTTTTCGGGTTTCTTTTAAGTATTTTTTACTGTCTTATGACCGATTGTACTTCTTTTTGGAGTCTATACAATGGGCTCCGACTATAAGAAATTTTTAAAAAAGAAGGCCTCGTCTAAAGGAAAGTTAATTGAAGCTAACCCTATTGGCGAGGATCAAAAGAAAAGACGACTTGACCTTGCGGGTGGTAGTTTAACCACTGGGCCGTAACTACCCATGTTGTCACTTCTCAGGTTACTCCGTCTCTACCTCCGCCTCCGCCCTCCAGCGCTCCCTTTGGGGATGCTGTGTTTTTAGAGCCTAGGGAATTATGGAAGATTGGAGTTTCTGATTGTCCCTGCACTGGCTTGAAGCCTCCTCCTCAGTTCGTGGGAGGTTCACCCCTTACTGCTGACATGCGGGCTATGTTAGGTCGGATGGAAGATGAGTTATTAAAGATGACTTCTATGATCCAATATTTTTAGGATCTCCATCAGAGAATCAACTTATCCAACGCTTCCAGTTCAGCACTTTCTACTAAGGTGGATGAGCTCTCCAAGTTGAGGGAAGAGCTTTTGAAGTCAAAGGCCGACTTAGAGGTCAGGGTTCAGGACCTCAGTTCCCAACTGGCCAAGGCCGAGGATAATTTGAAAGTGGCCAACTTTTCTGAAGAGGTTTTGAACAAAGAAAAAGAGCTTTATCTGAAGAATCTTAAGGACAAAGAAGCCGAGCTTACAACTCTGTGGGCTGATTATGAAGAGGCACGGGCCATGGTAGAGAACAAGGCCATATCAATTGTAAAATATTTTGGAACTCAGTGTCGTTGGGATCACTATGCTTGTAGTTGACACTATATTGGAGTTTGAGGCATGATAATAAGATTTTTGAACTCAGTGTCGTTAGGACCACCATATCTATTGTTGACACTATTTTCAAGTTTGAGGCATGATAATAAGATTTTGAAACTCAGTGTCATTGGGACCATCATGTGTGTGGTTGACACTATATGAGAGTTCAAGACATAATGGTACTATGAAATTGAGTGTTGTTAGAACCATTTGGCCCGTGGACCACACCATATTTGATTGCATGGTGGTTTTTTGATAAACCATGAAATTTCTCTGGATTAAAGGAACTTTAGAGAAATTTAATGACTAATAGAGAAAATAGTAGTTAGTTGTTGTTGGATCATATTGGCATGCTATTTTCTTGCTACACTCCACAGTAATGACTGGTCGACAGAGTCAAATAACATTTGTGACCATGGAAAGTCTTACATCAGTAAAGAATATAATCACCGCCTGATTTATTGTTATTTGACTTTAGTTGGATGAAGTCATATTCAGATGTCGCACTTTGAATCATGTGTTTTCTTAAAATGTGGCCACATTATAAAATTAGTCCTTAGTTCGAGAGTCGTATTCACATAACTTGTTTTCCTTTAAAAATTAAAATTACACATTTGATATTTCCCAAATGGGAGAATGTTAGGGTTTTTATAATTATTGTGGGTTGATATCAATTGCATTTATTTTTTTATTTTTATAAAAATAGGCTAAGTCATTATCCATATGGAAGTGCAGTATAAAGTCTACTTAATTGAGTGATCCATTTGTTTGAGCTTGGATATCTGTAAACTCATTAGTGTGAGTAACAGTGTAGGCCTAACTCATAGACCCGTGATGGGAAGGAGACTAGGGTTAACAAGTTTGACTAGGTCTCATCTGCATTCACGGTACGTGGAAAAACAGTCGTTCCACAACTTGCTCTATCGACAGTTGTGATAAGGGATTGGTGTGAACTGTAGAGGAATATCCTTGTCCTTCAACCTTTGTAGGAATAGCAGAGCAAGCACTACAATTGAGATATCAAGAGTCATGTGGTCAACAAGTATGCCTAAATCTTTAGGTATTCTAATTTCATATAATCCTATTTGTGATTTCTTACATATATTGCTTTACATATATTGCTTATGTTTCATCTAAAAAATATTTTTAGTTACGCAGAATGAGAATTAAATTGAGCTAAGATGCTTGTAAACTTTTGAACGAATAAATAATTTCTATTAATTTATTTTTCACTGTATTTTACAGCTTATTTTGTTTTGTTTTTCACTGCAGGATTACCAATCACTAAAAAGACATTTCGGATATCACCAACTATGCCTGTGATGGACACAGTGACTCTTTTTTGGTCGAATGTGGCTGACTCAATAAATCTTAAGAAAATAGTTAATTCTTTGAAGTACTGCGCAGGAACTACACATTTGACAAAGTGGTGGCTTTGCAACACCACGTATGAACTTGAACCTGGTGCATTGCCCTTTGTTCCGAAGCTCCTACCAGTTGGTCCATTGTTGAGAAGTTATGACAATAAAAATGTAAATGCAAGATCAATTGGTCAGTTCTGGGAAGAAGATTTGTCCTGCATGAGTTGGCTTGATCAGCAACCTCATCATACTGTGGTGTATGTTGCCTTTGGTAGTTTTACTCTCTTGGATCAAAACCAATTCAAAGAACTAGCAATTGGACTAGACCTTACCAATAGACCTTTTCTTTGGGTTGTGCGTCAAGATTCCAATTGTACCAATAAGATGACATACCCCAATGAATTCCTTGGTAGTAAAGGCAAGATAGTTTCATGGGCTCCACAACAAAAGGTGCTAAGCCACCCTGCCATAGCTTGTTTTGTTAGCCATAGTGGTTGGAATTCAACTATGGAAGGTTTGTCTAATGGGGTGCCCTTCTTGTGCTGGCCTTATTTTTCTGACCAATTTTTTAACAAAAAATACATTTGTGATGAGTTGAAAGTTGGGTTAGGATTTGACTCAGATGAAAATGGATTGGTGTCACGCTTGGAGATAAAAACAAAAGTGGACCAACTTCTTAGTGATGAGAACATAAGATCAAAGTCTCTAGAGCTAAAGGAGAAGGTAACATGCAACATAGCCGAAGGAAGTCGTTCTTCAGAGAATTTTAACAGGTTTGTCAAGCGGCTGAAAGAATGAGGATTGGCCATATAGCTTGTTTGTTTTTGCAAATTCAGTTTAATTTGCAAATTATATCCATTTCCTGATTTGAATTTTCATATTTTCCTAATTGGAACCGTGACATTTTCATAAAGAAATCGTTGTATGGCATGCTCTCTTTATAATAGTTAAATTATGATTAAATATAATTGAATTGGCATTAAAACATAGATGAAAATGATTAATTTTAATTTATTGAATGGACTTTGTTGAGTCAAATAATAAAGATGGAATTCTCTCCACCAAATATTCGTTTCTCAAAATGAGTCTAGATATGAACTGTGTTTTTAAGAGCAAGTCAATTATAGAGGGGCTTGTAAATTTGATCTTTTTGAATCATCATTAGTATTATTCAAGGTGGATGAAACAAAATTACCCTAATATAACAAGTTTATTTTTCTTTATTTTGGTACCCTGCATATCAGAAAGCATTTCCAAGTAAAACAGAACTTCAGGTTGTGCTTCTCAATCAATGTAAAAAGTCTTCAAGTGTGTTTTTTATGCAGCAAGTGGCAACACATTTATGATGGAAAACTATATGTGCAGCAACTGAATCTAACTATTGCTAGTATAACTATCTTTACATAGTAAATAAAAATACCTTCATGTAGCAAACAAAAATGGTTTATGTCAGGAGAGAAATTTTGTTAAGTGGGACATTGGACAAAATTGGTTAGATTTTTGCTTTTCAAGTCTATGGGAGAAAAATGTTTTGTAGTTAATACTCAGGGCAGATTTTTCCGTTCTACATTCAATATCTTATTTATATTTCGAAATAGCAAAACTAAGTCTTCATTTCTTCATAAGGATTGTAGATCTTCTTTTTAGCTTTCGAAAAAGATTAGTTACAAAACAATGCCCGGAGATCCACCTTTGGCGAGAAAATCAAAATTATATCAAATCTGGTGACAACAGTTTTAACTTGTTGGAGAAATATAATATAAAAATTATTAAAGTAGCTTCGTAGTTGATAGTTCTTGGCAATGATAAGCATAATGATTGGAAGAAGAATGTGTGAGATGGAAGAAGAAAATGAAATGATTGGTAAGAGAGTTGTTGTTTTGCACGAAGAGGATGAGACCATATTTGATAGTTCTTGGCAATGATAATGTTGGGGTTTCATTTACAATGTATGGGACTTGGAGTCCCACGTTGGTTGTATGGGCAACTAATGTAGGGTTTATAACGCTTGGACACTCCCACCCTTTGAGCTAGCTTTTAGGGTGATGCATCTCAAGGTCTCATCCAATGGTATCAGAGCATCCATCACGTGGAGTTGTGCGTGGGGGCACGCACTAGGGAAGCGTGGTGGAATGTTGGGGTTCCATTTGCAAGGTATGGACTTGGAGTGGGAAACTAATGTGGGGTTTATAAGGTTTTGGGCACTCCCACCTTTTGAACTATCTCAAAGTCTCGTCGGATAAGCATAACGGGAAAGATGGTCCCTCGTCTTGATTATTATCTTGTGGATTCCAAAATGAAAATAGAAAGACATCTACACGACGAACACATCTTCAGTAAGTCCGTCGTTGGTACATCTTCGTTTGAAAAACCGACACATGTATCATTTTTTTTTTTTATCCTCTCCGTACAATTTTTACACTCTCTCCAATTTTTATTCGATCGCCGCACCGAAAAAACGGTGCTACCGATGCACATTAGAAAATTCCCTACACGACACAGATTTTGTATTTTTCTTCCTTTTTTTTTGTGATTATTGTTTAGCAGCTCACCTCCAGCATCACAATCATACTATCCCTACCACCATTTATCTTCAGTATATAAACAAACCCACTGTGCAAAGTATAAACCACACTGAGTAGCCCAACATAAAGAGTAAACCCTCTAAATCAATAAAAAGTAGAAACACAAATACAACATGAGCATTCCTTATGTTCTAATTCTGCCATTTCCAGCTCAAGGGCATGTCAATCCCTTGATGAACTTTTCACAAAAGTTGGTTGAGCATGGATGCAATATCATTTTTGTTAACGCAGACTTCAACCATAAGAGGGTGGTGAGTTCCATGGCCATGCAAGAAAGCCTTCATGAATCACCAATGAAGTTGGTTTCAATCCCAGATGGCTTAGGACCTAAGGATGACAGAGGAGATTTAGGTGAGCTTTGTGTTGCCATGTTAAGTGTTGCCTTGCTAACAGTTGTGCAAGTAATGCGCGCAAGTATACGCGACAACAAGTAATATAGGGCTGTTATAAGTCCCAGTTATCGTTCCCACAAGGATCGTTGGCGTTTTGAAATGACTAAAATTTGTAATTGTTTAAAACTGAGTTACTATTTGAAAATAGAAGAAATAAAATTGTAAAGTAAAAAATATTCTAAAATGGACCTAAAACACTACTGTTCATTTTTCTTTTAAAATTTTCTGAATTACTTTCCTAAGTTATAAAATACGAATGAAGAATGAAGCAACTTAAATGAAAGATGTGACAAAAATTTTGAAAACAAAATAGAGATTGAAATATGAAATAACAAAGGAAATTGGAAAATCTGAATTGATAAAGAGGTTTAAAAAGGTGGGTTGAGTTTTTGTTCTCCTTCCCCACAGTGCTTGAAAAATAATTTGATTAACAAAAAGCTCATCCTAAGATTCTCAGTTAACAGAACTGTATTGTTAATTTTTAATCTCTTAAAAATTATTTTAGCCCAAAGTTGCCCACTTCCATATCTCTATGCCAAGTGGGATTATGACTCTTGAGACTCAGGTCCAATATTACATGAGGACTCATTCATTTCTGAATTGAGATCCCTTAGATGATTTCTCATCTAAGTCCATGTGTCTAATGCAGAATCCAGAATTAGTTGTTTCTCAACAACTAAATCCTAACCAAACCTCTGACATTTGGCCAAAATGCAGATAATTTTAAACATAAAAAAAAAACATTAAACAACTGAGATATAAAAATTAAAACCAGGAAATCAAATATTTGACAAGCACTGAGGTTTGGGTATCACCTAAACCCAACCTCTAAAAAGTTAGCCACTATCCATATCGGTGAGGCTTACACACAGTAACAGAACTAAAGAAATTATAAAAGAGAAATGCTAGAAAATTAATTTACAGCACTAGCCTAACAACCAGCAATTTCAGTGCTGTAAATACATGTATCGAGTTCATCAGATGAACCAGAATCTCATTACAAAATAGAAATTAAAAGAAAATAGCAATTGTGCAGAAAGCAAGAACTAACAAAAACGATAAATCAGAAATCAGGAGTGGGAAGAAGGGCTACTTTGACTCACTCTTCTTTCCCTTTTTATAGGGTTCCTTTCCTTCTTTGTATAATAGTCCATATTAATTAATTAGGAAATCAAGTGTAATTAATTAATTAAACATGTTTTACTGGGTGAAATTAAGTATGAGGCTTAATAAAATGAATCTGAGTCACTTTGGAGTTAAAAAGTGTACTCAGTGAAAATTAAGGGGTATAAATGGGTACTGTCAAAAGTACCCAAAATATAAAAATAAAAATAGTAATATTCCTAGAATTTGGGCAGCATGACCTTTGTTTTCTCATCGTTTACCAGTTTAAACGAAGAGGGTACCTAATTGATTTTCAGCCCAACCAATTCAACAACTCAATACATAACAAGCATGCATATATTGAATTCCAAGTAGGCATCATTTACATTACATATCCTTTACAAATCATAGAACTTAGCTTACAAAACACTATGATCATTCCCTTGGCTCCCATCAACAAAAGGTGTAACCAAAGGCATGAGCATAGGCTAAGTTCATCCAATGAATCAAGATATACAAATGATCATGGGCTTTCAAAATAAAATCCTATACATGTCAACTACAAAAGGCATGCATAAACTCAAAGAAGTGCCATATTTCATGCATGATCTAGGTATGGCCACTTGCCACCAGAGGCTCCTGCAGCATCCTTACCTGAAAGGGGGTCCCCACAACACGGGGTGAGATATACGAATATATCCAGTAAACCAGGGGTCCTTGGAGCATCTATCCACCCCACAGTTCCATATCAGTGTAATAGCAATAACAATAATAATGCAGTAAATACATATCTATGCAAAGTGCAATACATCTCCAGGAGAAATCCCTCGAGCTCTCAAGCTGTCCTAAGGAAACTCAGATGCAAATAGTCCTACTGGCCAGCTAACTACCAAGTATGATTTACGCATCGTCATGCCACATACCAACATAGGGAAACACCATCCTATGCCACACCAAATGCATACACATACGTATAACAAAACATTACACTATTTTATTGCATTTATATACACAATCACAACCTCCACCCTTTCGGGGCTTGGTAGAACAGTCAAGGGAATTACACCCAAGGTCCGAAGGCTTACCTCAATGCTTCAGTCAACCTTTGTTCTTCACCAACAGTTTCAGCAATCAACTTTTACAAATATACACCTATACAAGGGTAATGCAATTAACATATTGCATTCAAGGATAACTCATCATCATCAATCCAAGCTATCCTATTCATACCACAACACAAGGATGAGCTTACCAATTCCAATGAGCTATTCAAGCTCCATAGCTTGCTCCAATGGTTGATCACTCACCGTTGGTCCAAATGTCTCAATCCTAGACATCACAAGGACCCAATCAATCATTCAACTCACTAATTGTTCAACATGCTAGAATACTAACCAATCCAAGCATGAATTTTCCAATATTATGAACAATTATCAAATGACTATCTAGGCTCATTTCCACCGATTAAATGACATTCCTAGCATTTTCCATAACATGCTCTAAGCTCCATTCTTCCTAGAACATAGCTAATTCAACTACATTTCATAAAAATCCCAATTTTCACCAAAGGGCCGAATTTTTGAGAGGTAATATCTCTCTCCACAATGCTCCCCACTCAAAACAAAGCAAGGATTATGAAAGAGGGCGAGATTCTAAGCGATTATCAGAGCAGTTTCGTTGGGAATAACTGTTAGCTATTGTTGAGTATGCTTAGTGTTCGATGCTTTATAGTTGTTTTAGTACTCTGTATGATTATTGCATTTGTGATCACTAAGTGTGGGCCTGATCAACTCACTTCTTTGTGTAACATGTGTAGTGACATGACGAGGAACCGAAACAACC